AACAGCTGTTTTTTGTTTAATTAATGATTGACTGAGATTGCAATAATCTGGATGTGAAACTCGAGCACTGTATCTGGTAGCGCCCAGAATGCGCCATACGACGTGGGAAATCTTGCACTCTTTATTTAAATAAATATAACATCTCGTGAGAACAATAATTTATTACATAATAAAAAATCTTGCCCAAATCAATATATGAATAAACTTGGTCACGTGATCAAGTGCAAAGCAATTTGGTATTCAGAAATGCCCGCCATCTACAATAAAGACCCTTTTGAATGTTCCCCACTTTGTTCTTGGTCTGCGATGTTTTCTTTTCAGATGAGATAGGCTACTCTAGACATAAAAAAACTAAAACCACGATCACCCCCCTTAAAAATAATGGCATTATGCCTCCAATCTTATAGCCCAGACCCTATATGTTCTGGTGAAGTTATCATCACTTGTTGAGATATGGAGCGTACTTTGCCACCAGACAGTTTCTGAAAACAGAAATCACACCAAAAACAGTTTCGAGAAATGGAATCCAGGGATGACAAAACCATGATGATAAAACACCACGAAGGATTGTCTTGTTAACATTTCAAAAGTGTAATGATGAACAATGAAGTTCCCTTCTAGAAAATATTGCTGTTTTCATTCAGGGCTTCTTTGTCAAGACCAATCAAGACCACTTGTGAAACATAATTGTACTACAATAGTTCGGTTCAGACTGTGTTGTTTGTTGGTTCTGTTGCTTATTAGTAAGGTTGCAGATTCAACCCCTCTCCAATCAGTATTCTTTGTGCAAGGAAACGACAAAATAAACGACACTTAAAAAGAACCTGATGCTTACCTTGCGACAAATTATTCCAGATCACCTCAGAACCTATCCCACATTTCATTTTACTTTGTAAAATATTAACTTCACTATAAGGCTGTTGCGCGTAGTTCAATGTAGTTTTTAGAGCGTCTATGAATGGGATAAAATAGCCGTTTTCTTTATTCTTTGTACATTTATGTTTTTGTAAAAAAAAAAAAAAATCCGCGGTTGGCTTGTGCCGAAGTGTATGCAAAAACGGAGTCTGTGTGCGGCTAGGTTGTTTGACTTTATCACGATTTGGCGTTCCCAACCCAGGCTAAAATGGACCGTTTTCGATCATGCCATAGGCTCACATTTAGAGGTGCTAGAGCGGAGCTTATGCAGTCAGCTTGCTCACGGGAGGCGTGCATGGTACTTTGGCGGAAAGTGTGAGGACTTATGCGCGTGACTATTACTATAAGGTGCGTGCGCAGACTGGGAAGAGCCTAGTGCCCAGTGGAGCTGCTGCGTCACCGTTGTTAAATCAGGGCGACATTAGGTTTGTGTGATATGTCCGTGCTTTAGTTCGTATAAAACGCCCTCTTGTGACCTCTTCTCCAGTTCGTTTTGCGTATAAACAGCTCACCGGAGGACGTCTTTTCAATTGCTTTTTTATATTACAAATAAATAATTGATATTCGAGATATAACAATAAATCGACAGAAAAAGGACTGTCATTTTGTATCAGATAGACTGTGAATTTTTCGGCAAGACATTTTATTAAAAAACACCTTCGAAAAATTACCTTTGATTGCGACGTTTATAAATGTCTCAATCGGAAGGAAAATAACGTTCAGGTAACCTGGGATTTTTCGTCATCTGGGTAAGTTAATTCCGAATCAAGTAAATTACCATTGGAAAGAGTAATTAAAGGAGAATATATACTACTGTTGACGACTTAAGAGAAAAAAAGCCCTCGATGGAGCCACGTAGGTAGCTATTTAATACATACACTGAATGTAAACAAACAAACAGCACCATTTGTGCACAACTCCAATGGCAGGCACTACGCGTATATCCCCGTCGCTGGAAATGTATACACGCGGGGCACTGGCCAATCACGCTTTGGCGTACGGTGGTAGGCCTACTTGTTTGAATCACGAACCCCGAGTACTGTGCAGTTGAGTCGCGAAAACCACAGTCCGTGTTCAGTAAACCCACCAGGGAATCCCCCCATTTGCAGGCGAGTTTGGGTTTTTTTTCTTTTGAAATCACTGTAAGTACAAAATATAAAGTCTTATTGATGTTTTCGTGGCAGTCTTAATTCTAACTTAACTTACTTGATTGCAGAAAAAAAAGCTTTATTTTGGACCCTTTTCTTTCGCTGGTTGCTGGCTTTCGTTCAGCAAACGGAGGCCTTTTTGCTGATTTCGCGAAACTAACGGCATCGCATTTAAAATTTTTGATGGAGATGCTCAAGTTAATTACCTCATAAACTTACAATTCGGAAAGATCAAATAAACGTGTTTTTTTTCCACCATCCAAACTACAATCCTTACCAGCAAGTGTGTTTTACTCAGTGGAATTCAAAAGAGCAACATTTGCTTAGTTACTTCTTTGCATTTCTCTTCCCCTCCTCTCATTACATGAAGGGGTATCCAATATTACAATATTTTGTTCTGAAAGGCTAACAAATATTCAGGTTTTGTACTGCACAAAGGTTTTAATTGAATCCCTTAGATTTAGTATTCCTACCCCAGTACATTTTTTTGAAAACATCTTGAACATTAAGACACACTTTAAAAACAACCCGAAAACAAACAAGCAAGCCCCCCCCCCCACACACGCATACACTTAGCATATGGGGTTTATGGGGCACCACTATTGTTCGACCCTAATCTCCTTCTTTTGTTCTCCTTTGTCTCCTTAGAAATCTCAAAACCCATAACGTTAGGACTATGGAGTACTATTTCTAAAGACAGACTTGCGGGGTACCATTGTCCCTATTGTTGCCCTTTGTTCCCGGTACCCCATAAGTGCCAATATGTAAGAGCACCCATGTTTGTTTTACATACTCTATGTGGACATTCCTTCTTTTGTTTGTACGTTAACTTTTTCTCGACAGCTCCCATAAGGTTTGTAAGGTCCTCGGGCAGCGTCGGGCCCATTGTTATCGCACACACCCCATTGTCCCAAGTCCTCAGTTGTATAGGATAACCTGTACACACATTTTGATTTTACGGAGGGCAAGTGTCCGTAGAAAAACATCCGTCTACATTAAAAAAAATGTGACTGGCCTGAAACCCCCCGCACAAATACCTTGGTCCGCCCCTGAAGACGGTATATTTTGCCATGTCTGTGTGAAGCGTTGTGCCTCTGAAGTTGGTATACGAAGTCATGGTAGTTACGTACCTACACAATAAGGTTCTGTTCTATTGGGGAATTGTTTTGACATCATAGTCGATTCAACGGACTAACCCTGCTACTACTAGATAAAAATAGTTCAACGGTTATGATTTTGAGCATAAACATATTACATTCCACATGATAGTACTATGCATTGCTTGTTCCGTTAACGGTGGTTTAAGTGATAGCGTTGAATTTAAGTGAATTGTTTCATTTGGCAGACTTTAAGGTACGTAGTATTTTTTGTTATTACCCGGAAACGTACCAACCAAATAAATGAGAAAACAAAAAAGATCTTGGTCAAAGCAAAGACAGGCCTGGTACCAAATACACTGTAAAAGTAATCTGCCTTAAATGGCATCGTTGAGAGCAAACAATCCCTGGAGGTGGTTTACCAATAAATGACCCAAACATTGCATATGTTTTATCATCAACAAACAGGTAGAAGTATCTCAACATACAATACAAAGCAAGCCCAGTAAAGCTGGTTCCAGAACGCACATTATTCTTGACTCCGAATGACTAATCGCTCGAAGACTGTTCAAGCATCTGGCCTACACAACGGGCCGGAATCGCCCATTCAAGGGCATTACGGGGTAATCCTATAAAATAGCACTGCCCGTCCCAATGATGAAAGTCAGTCAGTGAGTCAGTCATCAGTGGGATACTAGACCCCCTGAGACCAGCAACGTCTAGAAACGAACTTCGCCAGTTAGTGCCAGTTTGTTTCCCTAATCGCGGACAACTCTATGAATACACGTTCTTGAACTCAAAATTTCCGCCAGCTTGTGCCAATACTGTGCACAATTTAAATGTAATTTTCCCGCGCCGACCACACTCTATTATTTTGGTTATGTTAACTTTATTGTTGAACAATTCCTCTGCAAATTTAACAGACTTGTGTTATACATCAACTGCAAGTATGTTTTGAGTTATCGTCGGGAAAACGAGTGTCTCTTTTTTTAATTACAGTTTACTTCAATAATTAGGAAGGTATTTCTCGTGTTGACAATAATCCTCTTTACGTGGTGACCGCTTTTTCTGTAACGCGCCTTCTTTGAAAGATTTTCCTACTGAGAGCTGTGGAAGTCTTCCCATTGAAAGTGGCACTCACAATGTTATTTGACTATGTTTAAACGAGGACCTTGTGAAATGTGAATATTTTTCACCGAAAAATGAGCAAAACGGACTTAATTTTAGTGTCGACTTTAATCAATAAGGATTCACTGGCAGATATATGATGGTTGAAATTGTGTAGGTCGCTGAAAGGCTATATTTTGACAATTTACTCTTTTAAAAAATATAACAATCAAAAGAGCTTTAGAAAATGTTATTTTCAAAGACCGAAATTAGCTGCGGCAAATCCCCTCGTTGTTACAGACATCAGGTGTACTCCATCTTAACATTAGGAAATTGCAGTATGAAGGACACTCCGTATTTTCTTAATTATTTTTACATATCTTTTTGAGAGCGTTAAAGTAACAAACCACAAAAACATATCCTTTCTTTCTCGTATGAGCATATGTTCATACAGATGTCTACTACAACAGGAATAAATTATTTGTTAGTTCATTCCCTCAAAGTTTAGTTTGTTTTGGCATATTTTCAAAATGTCAAAGCAGTCCTAGGCCTTGTATTATACATAACTCGTTCTCTCACTTTGCCTTAAATTCCATATTTTCAAATTTACTTCAAATTATTATACGAAAAAATACTCAAAACAATTATCCCAAACAGAACCCATTTTTTAAAAAGAACATTCAACAGGCTGAATTGTGCAATGACTCATACAGTTGATTGTATGTAATACGATCTAAAATGCACTGATCAAGAAACCAGAAAAACAGCAATAACGATTGCTAGATTCGCAATGAATACCACTGTTACTTCCGGCAAACTCAAGCCAGACTCGATCTCCAGTCGCCAAAACGACAATTGCTGAATTGCTGGACTGATGGTGTACGTTAGACTGACCGTCATAAATTGAAAATACAAGTTGACTGTTCTTTTTCAGCTTTACATAGGGCGTAGACGAATACCTCAAAAAGCTTGCGGTAAAAAAATAGGCACCAGAAACGGAGCACGTGAACACGCCCGATTGCGAATCGTACCCATCGCCCAGATTTGTCTCGATGTTATCAAAGATGATATTGTCACCACTACTACTACTCGAGATACTTGAAGTGCGGTACACGCTGAATGCGACGGCAGAGGGCGGTGTTTTTGTCACAAGGGTAGCATCTCCTGGCTGGCCCTTTTGCCCCCTTTCACCAGGCAGACCCTGGACCCCTTGCTCCCCCTGGTCACCTTTCTGCCCCTCACCGATGTCTCCCTTGCGACCCGCAGGTCCCTGCTTTCCCAGAGGTCCCCGCGTCCCTGGATCGCCTCGATCTCCCTTCCGTCCCTGGTCGCCGGTTTCTCCCTTTGGTCCGGTGAGGCCAAATCCAGGGTCACCTTTGGGGCCAAGAGGTCCTTGAACCCCAAATCCACCTGGATTTCCTGGGATTCCAGGGACGCCTGGTGTTCCGGCCGGGCCTTGGAAGCAAGCACCGCAGCAACTTGATCCCTTCCCAGACAGCAAGCATACGTCGATCCGACGTCGGCAAAGGTCGGCGACGTCGCCCGTGGGCGTACGACGTCGGTCCGACGTCCGAAATGGGTCAGAGATTTCCATATTTGCCTTACGTCGAAAATAGGTAGGACACTTTGGTCATCATAACGTCTGTTTAACGTTGAAAGTTTGACGTCGGTAAGCCGTCAGAATTATAACGTTAATAAGACGTCAAATAAAGGTCATCACATCACGTCGGGAATAGGTCAGACATTTGGGTCATCATGACGTCTGTCTAACGTTGACGATGTTTCGTTGGTAGGCCGTCAGAATTGTAACGTTGGTAAGACGTCAAATAAAGTCAATCACACTACGTCAGCACGGCGTCGAAATCTTGAGTCGAATTAACGTCAGATTATGGTCACATGCTGGACGTTAACTTATGGTCACCAGTTCGACGTCAGATTGGCCTGGCAAATCAGAGGTCATTTGGACGTCACAGTTGTATGGTCATCACTGTGACGTCAGTCTTGCGTTGCACATCTGACCTCAATAGGACGTCAAATTATGGCCAGCACTCCCATGACACAGGACGTCTTTGGAGCCAGAAAGAAAGACGTCTTTGAGACGTTCGGCTTTTTGCCCACGGCCGCTGAAGTACACACTATAGATAACGACCGTTAAAACGACGTCTTTAAGAAAAACTTAACCCTGCGCAGCGTTTACAAAAAATGATGATCAGAACTCGCCAACGGTGGCCCTTTGGGCCACAGGTACTTCCCGGCACTACGCAAGACCCTATTCATGTCAAAACAACAACAAGCCACGTGCCAGACAGTGTCCAGGCAGTTGCCAGACAGTGATAATTGACTGGTGTCTGTGGTTTGCAGCTATGAAGGGAGATGGCTGTGTCAAGTTACGGGTGTCTGTATATGTTTCAATGAGACTTGGCAGGAGGCCTGGTCGAAAGTTTGTTGACACGGCTTGGGCAAAGTTCATTGAACCAGCTGATTTGGCATGGGTTGAATGAGGATTAGATGGAAGGTGACCGTCATTGGCCCTCAATTTTTATTTCTTTTCAAAAAATTCGGTCAACTGTGGCCACATGTCTCTCTGCCCATACTTAAGTACCTTTTTCGGTAGTGGAAAGCCAGCCCTTAAATTTTAACTTTATGCATCCTTTTGCAAAGGGAGCTTTTGCTCACACCCAAGTTAATGGTCGTCAGAAAAAATGAAAGAATGTTGGCGTCGAGTGGTATAATTTCAATTGAGACAATTTGCTTTAATTCAGTTACAAATTAATTAGGGACGGAGCAAAATCAGCTCGTGAAAATGACGGACTATACCTCTTCACCTGAATAATCTCATGTCTACGGAGCTTTTAAAGGGACATAGGTGAAAAAAAAAAATCGAAAAAATCATCGTAAGAATGAAAAAAATCTGCGTTCGAACGAAAAAAAATCTGCGTTCGAACGAAAAAAATCTGCGCTGTTGCTTACAGCAAACAGCAAACAGCTTTTTCGTTCGAACGCAGATTTTTTCGTTCGAACGCAGATTTTTTTTCTTTCTAACAAAGATGTTTTCAATTTTTTTTTTTTCATCTATGTCCCTTTAAAAGCTCCGTACATGTCTGTCCCGTGGGAAAAAAGTTTGTCGTCTGCTTATGTAAACATGCACGAACACATTTTTTTTAAAGCTTTGTAGGTAACAATAGGTTTGCATCTCGATCCCTAGATCCCTAGTTTATGCATGAAGTGCGAGTCAAATTAATTTACATTTGAACTAATTTACTAGTAATTAATTTAAATCAACACCTTACTGAAAGGCATGATGACCGATTTTTGAAAACAGTCTGTGTGAGGCTATAACTAAAAGTAAGAAGACGTTATAATTCTGTTAAATTACCTACGTGTAAAAAAAACCTAAATAACTCTGTTATTTACCAATGGAATTAACCCAAAGTTAAGATCATGTAAACAAGGCATGACGCATTTTATGGAGAGAGTTTCATCAGCTTTGTGTAAGAGGGCGAGATTTAAACGCCATACGCAAAAATAACTCACTTTCAGAATCTGCCACTTTCGACTTGGCGTCCTGCAATGTCGATATAGCGCTGGAAACGGCGGCGGAAGGTGCGTGTTGCTGCCGAAAACTTATGAAGGAAGGCAGGATCACCCCTGATGTCATTGCACAGCTCCTCGATCGTTTGGCGACCGTGAGCAGGTGTGCAATGGCATCAGGTGTGATGCTGCATTCCTTCAGCTGAAGCTTTCGGCCGCAGCACGTGCCTTCCGTCACCGTCGCCGGTGCTGTATCGACATTCGGGTAGTGAGTATTCTTTTCGTATACGGCGTTTAAATCTGACCCTCTTGCACCCAACTGGTGAAACTCGCTCCATAAAATGTATCATGCCTTGTTTACATGATGTGAAATTTTGGCATCATTCTATTGTTGAACAACAGAGTTATTTAGGATCAAAAGTGAAAAATTTAACGAAGTACGAGTGTGCTCATTTTTATTAAGTTTACTTCACAAGGAGTAGATTTTACTAAATGATCACAACATTGTCCGTTTATTAACACCGATTTCTAAATCAGTCTTTGTAATAAGCTCACGTCAGATATAATGGAGGGAAAGACATTATAATCCTGTTCGAAAAGAAAACCTTACCAGTGACATCATCACGGTTGCTTCTTCAGAGAGAGAGAATGAGGGAGCAGCTCAACGAACATAAGATCAGCTTGGATAACATCCACGGGAAAGGCTTTTGAAACGGTGCTGAGACCACTGCTTTGTTTTGCGAAGACGCTTTTCCTTTTTTTGAAAGAAACGTTTAGGAAAATGTTCCGTTCTATGTTAACATAACTGTGTCAAGAGATACCAGCGCACTGGCACTGCAATCGACTGAGGTTTCTACTCGCTTTATATTACAAGACGCGTATCTATACAGCATTGCCTACGAACCTAGCTTCAATGGACGAATTCTTGGAGCATATTTCGACCAAATATAGTCCATTCAGGGGATCATCTAGGGACTAACTCGAAAATGTTAAATCCCAACGTGGATAATATTTGTTTTATTGTAGAGCAGAGAAGATTATTATGTTAAACACACGTGTCATTTTGGGCGTCGAAGCCAGGGACCGTCAGCTACAGAAACATTTTGTAACGTGTTCATTTTTTTTTCGACAAACGAAATGTTGATGTTTATGACAAATTTCGCATATTAACGATAGGTGTAATAATTATGTTCATTAGTTGATTAAAATGTTTTAATAGAACACAAGTTGTACACTTCAATACATAGTTGAGAATTCAATTGCGATGAAAATAAGTGACATTGTCCGCTCCTCAAAAGTAAACTATCTATGCTATTATCCTTTTAAAATATCATGCAATACATCTGTGATAAATGTAATTAACCAAGTGATACAACAATCTACAACTGACAAATTTTCCTCAGTGTTTAAGTCATGTATCTATGTCTGTTATATTCTAGAAAGAGTGGTGCTGTTAGACAGGGCGCCCAATATATAAAATGCAGGTTACAGACTCGTCAGGATACATTGACGATAACGTTCTTTTAATAATAGTGTCGGTGTATTTTGCTGCCAACGACGTAACCGATTTTCTGCAGGGTACATCGTATGATACATGCGCTTCAGATGCTCGTTATGTGTTTTTACATCTACAAACGTTTTACAAACATGAAGTAGCGGTAAATTGTATATGTCATTAAAAATGTGTTACTTCTTACAAATTGGTTACCTTCTAAACACAACCACGTCTGTGTGTTAACATGTAACTTAGGACAGGAGTCAAATCGAGGACGTCCTCGATTAGAAAACGTGTACAAAACCAATGGCAGCTGTTGCAATAACGTTATAAACACAAGTTCGATGATGAGAAACAACAGAAAATCCTCGATTTACACAATAAGCAAACATGTATGTGCGTATTTGTATGGATCAGAAAGTTAGAGAAGTAATTTCAGTTAAGCGAACACAGTTTTACTGATGAGCAAGAAAGATGTTTAACTGTTAATTTCGCTATAACGGAGGGACCACCCCTGCTCTCATTGCCGATAGTTAACAATGGGCAGAATAGGAAACATTCATTCGGGGTATTTGCGCAGCGTTGCGTTAGGCTGCATAGATTAGAAATCCGGAGAAGTAAGAGTACTTGTTTCCCGATTCGCTGTAAATCCCTCTACCACTACTGCCAAACTCCAACCAGACCCTGTCTCCCGAAGTCAAGGAAAGGATCGCTGAATTGCTTGATTGCTGGTAACTGTTGGAATCTGAATCATAGATCGCAAAGATCTTTTCATCGTTTTTTCTCAGTATTAGGTGAGGGTGTGTCGATGAATAGATCCTGTGCACACTAGTCGTGAAAAAGTAGGCACCGGTAATTGAACATGTAAACACGCCAGTTCCCGAATCGTACCCATCTCCTAGATTCGTCTCGATATTGTCAAAGATGATGACGTCACCGGCATCACCGGTGACCCTTGCAGTGCGGTAAGCGCTGAATGCGACGGCAGAGGGCGGTGTTGGTGTCACTATGGTAGCATCTCCTGGTTGGCCCTTTATGCCCTGCTCGCCAGGCAAACCCTGGACCCCGTGCTCCCCTTGGTCACCTTTCTGTCCCTTACCAATGCCTCCCTTGGGACCCGCAGGTCCCTGTTTCCCTGGAGTTCCCTGTAACCCAGGTTCGCCTTGATCTCCATTCTGTCCCTGGTCGCCGGTTTCTCCCTTCTGTCCCTGGTCGCCGGTCTCTCCCTTGGGTCCAGTGAGGCCAAATCCAGGGTCACCTTTGGGGCCAAGAGGTCCTTGAACCCCAATTCCACCTGGATTTCCTGGGATTCCAGGGACACCTGGTGTTCCGGCCTGTCCTTGGAAGCAAGCACTGCAGCAACCGGATAAGCCTTTGGGTTCTTCCTGGGCGATACAATGGCAATTTGAAAGCCACAGCAACAACATCACTGAAATAAGTCCTGATGGTCTTTTTTGTTTCTGTGAAGGGAGGAGAAAATATGTAGATAAAATGTCAAACTAGGTTTTTAATGTTTTCAGGAAAACAGAAATTATCCAAGTTAAATGTTGAAGGTACAGGGGTGTATCATCGCATATCCCTACTCCTACACTTTTCGACCAGGCAGGGACTACAAGCACAGTGACAACAACAACTTTGTGAGCGTGTTGGATGTCTTATTGCTTCAGTTTCACTCTTTTACAATGAATACTTGTAAGCCATAGCAGTACAATCATCGCAAAAACGTACTATTTAGGGCTTGGCCTGTGTACATTTTGGGGGCCAGTTTTACTTAAATTGCAATCTACCACTAACTTTGAAGTATCCCATGCTCTAAAACTAAGAACACGAGTAGGAATACTGTCGAGCACTCTGTGAGTCAAATGGCAATTCTACCAGAGAGGATATCCTTTCGATAAGCTTTACAGTCAGATGGCATGTCAGCTTTAATTGTTATCCATACGATCCAACTGGGATGTAGACACTTTGAAAGGACCTGTCGATCAATTTTTATTGCGATCAGAGTTGCCTATAGATGGGCTTTAGATATCAAAGTAGCCTTTTGACCAGCTCGCCGGCAAAAAGGCTCGTTTATTATCAGCGTGCTGAGCCACCTGGCCACTCGATTAACTTGACGGCAAAGTAGCCTATCAACCAACTTACGAGAAAACTGTCTTGTCCACCACTCACCAGCCAGTTGGGCAGTGGACTAGCATGACAGCTGATTGTTTCTCAACCAGCTTGTAAGCAGACAGACTGATCTGTATGCCAGTTTGCCAGCTAACTGGCCTGCCGATCAGCTTGAGTGACATGTCTGTCGCGCTTCAGGTTTTCCCCAACCGCTTTAAATCTACATTTCCCAAATTGTCTACTCCAGAACGATTTCAAGTCAAAGTCTGGTTCACTAATATCTATCACAAACAAATTACATTCTTGGCTTATTGCATGAAAAAAGGTAGACCTAAAAATAATCTCAGTAAAACATAAGGGCGATAAAGGCAAAGGTCTTCTGAAGGTTAAGTTTCCCAAAACCAAGAATTGTGAACGAAAACGTACCTTTGATGCCATTATGATTATTGTGCAAGTTGAAGTATCTTCGACGTAGATCAGCCTCTTGTTTTGGCGAATGTGGTGAGTGTGCCTGCTGCAGCACCGATCAGAATCTAACCCTGCAGAAGTTCGATCGAGTGAGGCTTTATTCAAACTATGATAGACCAGTGCTTTACTTTTTAAACTACTATGTCAAGATAGGGTTTGAACTGCCAAAATCTGGGCCATGAAGGAAGAATGAAACGGAAGTGACACACGTGGTCCCCCATGACGCAGTCTGCAAACAATTTAGTTGGCTGACGACTGCTACAGTGTATGTTATACCAATACTAACCCTTCCTTAGCTATAGCTAGAGGGAGCTGTATGACACAATTGACATTTGATGCTGCTTAAGGTTTCCGTGAAGAAACAGCTTTGGATATAGGCTACATGTACATGTACAAACAGTTACGGTTTTGCACCGATAACCATCTGTTTATGCAAATAATTAATATTTTGAAAATAAGGACCAGCGTCTTTACACCCCGACCCCCAAAATTTGGTGGGTGGTTAGATGTGTCCCACGAGAGCGTCTTAAGGGGTACTGTCACATTGGGAAAATATGTCCCACAGTTCGGTTTTTTCTGACCGTACCAGAGAAAAGTGAAAGTGTAATGTAGGGAGAGATAATTGGAGAACAATGCGATTACCCCACAAACCTCACCCGCACGTTTGTGTGTAACAAGATGGTGGTGTTGGTGTTGGTGTTGATGGTGGTGGTGGTGTTGTTGTTGTTGTTGTTGTTGTTGTTGTTGGTGGTGGTGGTGGTGGTGGAGGGTGGTCACGTAGCCTGAATCCCACCCCAACTGTCGCAAAGCAGCTCGATTTCGAACTCACATCTTAATCGTCAATAGCATTCATGTGTGGGTCATTCTACGAACTTGGTTCTTGTAAATAATGGTGACTTCAAACGACTTTTATTTCTTGAATAGGTGGTTTACTAATCATAATCACCTTTGGAGAAGGACTGCATTACAGGAACTAGTGGATCAGAATTACACATTCATAGATATCAGATAAAACAAGGAAACGAAAAAAGGTGGATCTCAAATTCATAGAATGATCCGTGTCTATTTCAAGAGAGTTCACGAATAGTCTTTATTATTTGTAGAGGTTGAGAACGACACCTAAACATAAATGTATGTTAACAATTTGTAATGCATAATTTTAATGAAAAATTAAAGTAACATATAGATATAAGACATGCAGGAAGCGAAGCGAGGCTCAATGGTATACAGTATTTTAAGTAATCTCATTTTTGTAAAAGATAAAAATCCTCAATACTATTATATAGCATAAATGTAAGTTTTATAATTAACTCTCGATCCACTCTAGTATGATTGTCAATACCTCTTTCTATAATTCTAACGTAGCTCTCTTCTGCCATTTCATACTGAAACATATTGAAAATAACATCCCCACAAAGGGTTGTTTTCAATGATGTATAGCTATCACAAAATAAGAACATTCCCGTTTTTTCCCATAAGACATTGTTTCCCACTTCGAAGGGGCTTACTTACGTGCACCAAAAATGTGATTCAAATAACTTAAATCAAATGAACGCGTGTATGTTTATATACACGTGCGCATGTCTGATATTCGGGCATCAGGATCTAAGAAAAACAGGATCTTAGTCAACTCTCCTTCGATAACGTTGCTGATTTTACAAATATGGGATAGCCTACAGGCACCAAAACTGCTGTTTACATCTCGCGAATCAGGAAACCAGAAAATCGTGAGAGTTTATTGGGATTTCCATTGATAGTTTGACCTGAGTTGCGGGTCTCGAGCCAGACCGTATCGTGTGCGGCTAAGACAGTGACAACTGAATTGCTGGGCTGGTGGTGGTAGCCTGGATGATTGTCGTACACCCCTAGGATTGTATTTCGATTCTTTCTCAGGATTGCCCAAGGTGATGCTGTTGAACCTAAAGTCATGAGGCTAACCGTGAAGTAATACACACCCGGGATCGAACACGTGAAAACGCCAGTTTGAGCATTGTATCCAGCTCCAACGTTTGCTTCAACTTCTCAGTAACTCGTCTTGACATCATGGGCGCGTCGCCAGGATTTTTTGTGGGGGGACTTAATCTCCCAAAATCAGTGTGCCTTCTCTAGGATATTCTCATTTTATCATTTTCCACCCCCATTATTAAAAGTATAATTGTCATAATTGTTATTGGGTCTCAGAGCGGGGGGGGGGGGGGGGGGTTCACCTTAATTTTAATATATTTCAATGAACAAAACTGAGTCAGAGGTAGGGGGTTGGCCCACCCCCACCCCCCTCTGGATCCGCGCCTGCACATGGACTATAAAAGCAAAGGTCTTGTGAATATTAGGTTTCGCAGAACAATTAATTATGAACAAAAAACGTACCTTTTACGCGATTATTGTACGCAGGTTGAAGTGTTCTTAGTCCCTGATCAGCCTTTTGTTTTGGTTAATGTGATGAGTGGGCCTAATGCATCACCGATCAGAATCTAGCCCCTGTTGAAGTTCGAGCGTAGCTTTAATAAAATACAACCTATAACCAGCGCTTTACTGTTTATAAATGCTATACCAAGATAGGGGTTTGAACGGTCAACATCTGGGTCATGAAAGAAACAAGGGAAGTGACACACGTGGTCCCCCGTGACGAGCAGTCTGCAAACAATTTGGTCGCACCTGACGACTGACATTACACCAATACTGTGTTACACCATTACTCACCCTTCCCATGGAGCAGCTACAGGGGAGCGGAATGACACCATTTGACGTTTGGTGCCGCTTTCTGTGAAGAACTAGGTTGGATAGTCATGTACACGTACACATTGGTTACGGCTTTGCACCCATAACCGTCTGTTTATGCACGTAATTAAAATGTTCAATGTGAAGCCTAGCCCCTCCCCCCTCTTCTTGTGGAAGTGTGTCCCCAAGGGGTACCGGGTAGTTATTAAGGGGTAGTCGCACAAAGGGAAATATGGTACCCCACTATGTCCCCACAGGACACAGAATTACCGTCCACACCTGCACACTTGTTTGGTTACATCGGACGATTTTGTATAGAATTCGGGAAACAAATATATAATTAGCATATAAGAAGTTACAAATGATACCAATTACAAGATTAGTTAATGATTACATATTTCTGTAAACATTTTTCATGCATTATTTTACAAATGAAGTTTAAAGGGAATATACAACATTTGCAAACATTGGAAAACAAAACTACCAAATTTTTACGAAATAGCTTACCAGGATATTGGTAAATGAAAGTCTGAAGCATCCTGTAAAATTATGGCACCTGGTGTGAAATCATTTCCAAGAAAAGTGGTATTTTGTATAAATTTCCAACAGTGGTCGGCCGACCACCGTTGGAAAAACCTAACTATTTTTCAACTACTGCTCCAAATTACCCTCTTTTTTTTGGTCCAAATTTTGTTTGCTATTGGTTCCATGTTCATGAATGGGTGCAGACCAGCTAGATTGGTTTCCTTATATACCCTTCAATTTTCCGGCATCTATATTTTGATGCATTTTATCTTAAGTGGAGTCAGGGAACCAGACTACTTGAACATTTTTGTGTTTCCTGTTTTTTCCAGCATTTTCGAACACAAAACATCAAACTTGTCAGTGTAACAATAGTTGATCTATTATACTTACCCCTCAAATAGTTCATTTCTGTAGATTACAGCAAAAGCCATTGATGTACATTCCCTTTAACCAAAATTACATTGAGATGCCACATTATAAGACATGCACAAAGTGATGCTCGACGGTAAACAGTGGTAATTAAGCTCCATTCTGTAAAGGATTGTAGTAAAACCCTCAGTAATATAAAACACATTGATAAATAAAATAAGTGTGACAATCAATTCTCGGCTCTAAATCAGTAATGCCTGTATCTTGCAAACTGTTGTCTGCAATAAAACAAAGAATTTAATTATGGCCCTCTTCTGCCACTTGATCACAGATTTTCTCTTAATAAAAGTGAGAGTGTTTACAAACATTGCCTTATTCCTAAGGTTACAGTTTCTCCTTTGTAGGAGCTGAACTACTGCGTGAACCGAAAAGATGCACGTGTGTATATGCCCAATATAATTCGAACAACTTGGGTTTTTCACGTTTTACCACCAACAAAGTATGTCCATGAAAAACAGAAACGTAGTGTTTCAAATCCCTCTAAATAATTGTCGCAGGGCTTGCTTTTATATTACTCTCCATTGAAATGTTGCTGATTTAGCAAATGTTTGGATAAAAGGATAGCTGTTTAGGCCTACATGTCCATCTCGTGAATCAGAAACCCAGAAAATCGTGAGAATTTATTGCTACCTCCATCAATACTTGCACTGGCGCTGCTGGTCTCGAGCCAGACCGTATCGCCCGCTGCTAAGACAGTGACAACTGAATTGCTGGGCTGGTGGTGGTAACCCGGATGATTGTCGTACACCCCTAACAGAGAAGAATTCCCATTCTTTTGCAGTTTTACCCGAGGCCTTGTTGAATAACTCAGACTCATGAGGCTGACCGTGAAGTAATACACACCCGGGATCGAACAGGTGAAAACACCCGTTTGGGCGTTGTATCCGGCTCCAACGTTCGCTTCAACTACGCCAAATACAATGGTATCGCGGCCGGTAGTACCGATAAATGTGGATCCCAAGGAGGCACTAAATGCGACGACAGATGCCGATGTTGACCCCGTTTCCCCCTGCTCTCCTTTCCTTCCAGTTGAACCTCGCAGGCCCGGAGATCCAGATTGTCCTCGGACTCCAGTCAAGCCTTGATCACCTTTGGGTCCCGCAGGCCCAAGTTTCCCGGGAGCTCCACGGATCCCTGACTTGCCTTGATCTCCCTTCTGTCCCTGGTCGCCAAACCCTCCCTTGGGTCCCGGGAGTCCGAACCCAGGGTCACCTTTTGGGCCTATTGGTCCTGGGGGACCGTTGACGCCAGGGACGCCGGGTATTCCTGGATGACCCGCTTGACCTTGACAACAGGTGCATGACCATTCGGGAGATGATCCTTCCGGTACATTCGTTGGTACAAAACTGCCGTATGCGCCGACTAAAAACACACCGACGATTGCGAAATATTTGCAGTTAATCTGTAGGAAGAAATTTAATACATGCAATTATAATTCCGAAGAGAAGAACTACCTAATCACCTTACTTGTTCACGAAAATCTGAAACAAACCGAGCCAATCACGTGTGACCCTGACCAGGATTAAATACTTTGAACATAATACATGTAACAGTGGATTTACCGGGCTATATATCGGTGACAGTCCGATTGTCTGAAGGTTCGATAGCACGAAAGTGTTTTAGTCCGAATGGCCTTTTAATCCGAAAATAGAAAAAGGGTTATTAATCCGAAGGCTCGATAGTCCGAATAGACGATAGGGTTCGATAGTCCGAACAGATGATAATGTTAGTTATTCCGAATTGACAATAATGCTCGATAGACCGGATGGAAAATATGGTTCATCAGTCTGACACTTCGGACTATCGGACCATACTGTTGATTCGGACTATCGATCTTTTCTATCGGATCTTTTTGTCAATTCGGAGTAATGAACCTTCGGACTAGCGAACAATATTTTCGTTTCGGACTATTGAACCGTCGGACTACTTAACCTTCTAATTGCGGAAAACCGATCACTGAACCGTCGGATTATCGGACATTCGGACTTTCGGGCGGATCCCGTAATATCGCCACGACGGTGCACAATATGCCACATAAACGTATTATGCCAAATAATATGCCAAATTATAAAAATGTAAGAACTTGTTTTTCGACATGTGGGCTACCTAGTTAATCTTTATACTTAAAGCATTTGCATATTTTAAAGTTTCACCATTTTGGTCGAGCGCACTCTCAAATCTCAAATAAAAAAGAATTTAAAAAATCACTCACATACCAGCGCGAAAGCTAAAGTGAAAGACATTCGTATAGTAACATTAATTCAATCAAATAGATTGATTTTCCACTATCTTATTTCAAAAACAATCTAACGGAGTAATTGTTCGCTTTCAATGGGGGGTGGGGTGAATGTTAATTCTATATACCGCCTGGAAGTGATTGTTCATATTGCAAAACAAATCTCTCTTAATTCCGTAGGCCTACTCACCCGAGAAGCCATTCTTGGGGCGTGATGGGCCGAGCTGTTTTAGTATTTAGAAACTATTGTTGTGCATAAAAAATCACTGTTGGAACTGACTGTTCAAGTACCGCTGGTAAATGTGAGCAGTTGTGAGCTGAGATTGTATTTTTATACCATTTTGGAATGAAATGCTAGAATTCTGGCCCCTGTACCAGTTTCACTGGCCTCGACAGGGGATTCGATCCCTTGGCATTTAGTGTCCTAGAAATTACTGACCCCGTTTCAACGGAGAAATCACTTTAACAAAATGCACACAAGAAAACAAAAACGTAACAAAGTCTTGCACCCTGGCTGTTTAAACATCAACTTCGTTTATATTTTGTCGCTCTGACAAGGCACTGTTTTAAGTCTCAGATTAACCGAAAGCCCAAGGGATTATCTTTACATTGCCCTGAAATGTGCATACTGTTGAGAACACCTTACAGGGAAGACTACAAGTGAGAACGCGCTTCCGTTTTGAACGCTGATATTAAAACAAAAACATTAAACACAGTCAGTATACCTCGTCTTGACTGACACAGCATTGAATGACTCAACGGAGGTGCACTACCGTGCGTAAAAACTTGATGTTTCAAAGCCGGTAGCCCCGATTCGTAGCTTAGCATTCAACCGATTTAATCAACAAATGAAGAATTCATCGATAGTTGGCCTCCATAAACAAATTCAACAAGCTCGAGATGATCTCAGAAGCTGGGGACTCCAAACTAATTGGTGTTACACTTTGCGTGAAATGTGTTCGTGACATCGAAGGATCAAAAAGCAACGTCGCTATGAACGCTTGGCTAGCTAGCTAGCTAGCTGCTAGCTAGCTAGCTAGCTAGTTAGTTAGTCCGCAGCTAAAAACAAACCAACAAACAAGAGGGAAAAACAAACGTCAAAATATGTAAAACGAAGCAATGTAGGGAACAATGACTTTGTTAAAGAAAATAAACAAAATCCCAGGCCAAATTTACTTCAGTCATCAATGCGATGGAGGCAATCTAATTTAAAAAGTATGTTTTCCGTTCAGCAACATACCTTTTTATGACCTGCTTTCAAAATGTTTTTTGAACGGGTAAAGTCAGCTAAGCCGCCCCCCCCCCCCCCCGTTTGGGGTGGGGAATGTATGGTGGAGAAGTACCACAGACATGTAACCCATTATGATTTTAACGTATTGACAGGATGTGTGAGCAATTATCTCGAGGGGATATGAACCTGTCAAGGAAGCAGCCTGTAATCCATAATTTCGGATCAAGAACGAACCTTCCCCAAACGATCAGCCGCTGACTAATGTTATGACACTAGTAAAATTGGGCAAAAAATATTAACGGAATGGTATTCTCATATTATTGCCTTAGATTGCACGAGAAGGTATCGTGATTTCAGGTTTTTTTGGTGAGGCAGGGGTATGCCATAACTTCATTCAACTTGCTCTCCCTTCATATCAAACCCTCTTGTTTCGTGAAAGCTAGGTTCACTATACAAACAGAGGCGAAAAAAGTCTTGTTTTGAATTGAAATTTCGTCTATTTATTGGTCATTATTATTCAACAAGTCTGTTGAATATCATGAGAAAACGTCAAATAATAAAACAAATACAATAGCCAAAATAATGCACTGTTATTAAGCCCGGAAAAATACCCTATTATACAACCAGGCTTGAGATGATGTGTATTTATTTATACAAAGTGGACGTTGCACCCGGGTTGCATATCTCTTCACCAATTGTCCTTTTTGATGGTTATCAGTCACCTTATAACACTGTATAAACTTTGTTCATACTTAGTTCATACTTGCACCTACTGGCCTTGTAGGTACCATTGTGTATGAGTCTGCTGGAGGACTACTGTATTTACTGACGAATGTCAGTTTTCACATGGAGTTCCATGGTTTGCTTTAGGTTCGAGACTGCGTGAGGAGGGCGAACCTTTGCTATTTGGTAGCCTAGACACCGGATGGTACTTGTTAAATTTGGCAATCGAACTGAGTTTGAATCAGATTTGACTTGTAAATCGACACTGAAGATGGTGGAGAACGCGAGTTATGTTTATATGTGGTCCCTGCAGAATCACAACTCGTCAGGTGCTCGGACCTCTGCGGTCGCTTCCCGCCCACCACCACTCTCGCCCCTTGATGCTCAACCTCGCAGTAGTACCTCACCGTTCGACAATGCATCGTGGGCCATTCTGCGCCACGCCTCAGCCGCTGCAGTGAGCAACAAGTGCGCCAGCGCTGCCAACGGCATCACGTTCGCCTACGAGCCCTTAGCGGCGTCTGCCATGTGCGGGCCTACGGGCAAACTACCCGAGGTTGACCTCCGAGGGTCACTAGAAGACGGAGCGGATAAACTCCAGCTCGTGAAACCCAGTCCTGGGTTCGACTTCAGCTCCTGGTCCCTAGCCACCAATGCCTGGATACGACAGAAAGCTCTGGATGCCTTGTTTCCGCACGACAGGCTTGTCTACAAGGATGTGTCCTCATCTCTAAACTCCAAATACGAGTCCGTTTTCTGAGGAGACTTTGGAGACTTTGCATCCAACATAAAACCTCGGGTGCATCGGTCTATCAACCCTCAAAGTTAGAAATAGCCAAGAACCACAACTGATCATCACTCCAATAAAACTTTATGATCTTCACTTCGCTTTTTGAAGAACAAGGAAGCGGAACTATTCTCATTTGTTTTTATCAAGACAAAAACAGGTTTCCTCATTCCTTCAGAAAATTGGAACCGAACCATTGGATTACTAATGCTGATGTTCTCTTCAAACTATTGATCACATCATCACCTCGTGCCAAGTCTTCCGTTCCAATCATGGACCCAAAAAGAAATCTTTTCGGCGGTGAACACTGTTTGTATAGCGCACCCTCTTTTGAAATAAAACATTTGTTGGCTCAAAATTTTCGAGATAAACACGCTACATTGCAGGTTTTATTTTGATGTTAAATTATATTTTAGTGTTCAACGATTTCTCTTGATATTCAACAGATTTCAATAATTTGTTACGACCAATAGTTGTCATGCAGAAACAGGACTAGTGTGTTGTTTTGTTCTATGAAAGTTGACTCTTATAAGCACTTTCACGGTAATATGCGCCATCGTGTTCACGGGGCAAAAAGAACACACGTTGCTAGACATGGGCGAATTTTGGAATGAGCGCTCGATGACTTGGAAACGCAAACGTTTTCGACTGACGATGCGTACACAGCAACGCTTGTAAATTTTCCCCGTAAGCAAGATGGTGCACTATCGTGAAAGTGCTTATTCGGATTGCATTTTTCGCGTTTAACATATTGCTACATTGCTTTCATTGAAATAGTTTAATTTGTTTTCACGATTTCTCTCCATATTCAACAGATTTTGTATTATATGTTACAACCAATAAATAGACTAAGGTTAGATTAACTAAAATTTTACACTTATCGAATGGAAACGAGTGAGTTGTTTTGTTCCCCGAAAGTGGACTTTAATTCGGAATGCATTTTTGTGTGCTGTACACACTACTCTGCATACATTATAAATATATTTTTTGTCCAAATAAATACAACAGGTATTAAACGATTGACTTATTGTCCATTACAAAAAAAAAACACCAAGTAATTATTATGACATGTGTGATACTCAGATTATTCCCCCGCCCCAGCAAAAAGTCTATTCGTGACTTATACCCTATAGACTACGGAGCGACTAAAGGGACATTCAATATAACAAATACAATACATTTCTTACGCACGATATATTTATATTTCGTCAGCATGAGATAATTCTCGTGCACACGAGTTAATTTTTTTCTGCGCACGAGATGATTATTTCGAGCTCGCGAGATATCTCGTGAGATAATTACACGAGTTAATAACTGTCGATCGCGCGGTCCACTGGCCTGCAGTTACAGACAATAAAGTGGTTATTTTTTTGTGTCACGTCGTCTACTTTCGTGCACATTGTTGTGGCCATGCTTTTATGTACAAACAGGTAAGCCAAGCGGGTACACTGATGCTTTCAAACGATGTTAGTCTCTGGCTAGGTTTTTCTTTAGAAAAAATGCCGGTGACGTCGTAACATATTAGAGCGCCTTCTAGCGGCAGGTTGAAAATGTTTACAATTAATTTTCAGTTGATTATTGTTGCAAAGTTTGCGGTAATCGTTTCAAAATTAATATATATGATGTCCTTTTTGCAGAGAACACTTGTGCGCGAAACAAATGATGACATTAGATCGGAACTTAGAATGAAAAGTCTTTACCTTTGAAAATTTCTGAAAAAGTCAAACCTGAGAGATATAATCTTGATTTTTCTTCTAAATGTCAATATAAAAGTAGGTCTGACACGGTTTAGAAATAACCTCTCAAATAACATGAACATCAAAGCTCTTTACATAGTCTGCCGTACCGTAGATATTGTGAACAATAATGTGTAATGAAACAAATTTACACAATAACAAGTTCTTGGTCAATATTATTTGCATGTAATTTACATTTAACAAAATATTGCAATTACATGTAGTCAGGTTATTTATTGAAATTCACTCAATCGTACAATGATTTAACATAGAACGTGTGGAGAAGACTAGTCTCATTTCAAGGCTTGATCATGTAAGGGATTTCAGAAATTGAGAGCTCAAACTCAGTATGACAAAGAAGCATGTGAATCAGAGAGCTTTGTTTGTATATCAAATTGAACATTATTCAACATGATTGAGCATGGACGAGCAAAGCATACTCTTGAAAAACGTGAAATGTGAAAAAGCCACATGATCTGTTAATCAAACAGACGTAGCTCTACTTTTGTTAATTGATTGTCCTAATGTCTTGGACAAACCAACAGAATTTCATCAGGAAATATAAATAAATTAATTTAATACAACCCACCCCGCAAAAATAAATGTGGTCAGTGTAAACGTCTATGGAACAAACACAACATACCCCTTGTCTAAAAACAACTCTAGCAATACCACATGTATCGAACTGAAATTACACCTGGTGATTTCACATGATATATAACACC